GGTGAATATCTAATTTCGCAATTGCTTCTCCAATTATTGTCTGAAACTTCTCTGTAAAGAAAAATTTTTCTCAACTCCTAGGGCCATTTGGTTACCTTGAAATAGAATTCTTACAGGAAAAGTTAGATAAACCCTATTGTTTTCCTTTTAATTATCAATTTCCTGAGCAAGATTTCAGGGCCCTAGTTATTTCCAGGAGTTTCTAATGCATTTCTTTTACAGCAAAATTATGAATTTTTAAGTTGTCAATAACTTTTTTGTCTTAGATTATACTGTTTTCATCTTGGATTATCTCATCTTGGGACACTGAATCTTCATTAGGCCACGTGTCCTTCAAGTATGTCCCTTTGGATTTCATAATCTCCGCTAGCTTTCACATAAGATAGCCACACAAGATGGGCAAGGTTCATCTTGCGTAGGATTTGTCCCAGGCCTAGAATCTTCTCTTCTTCAATGATTCCTTGTCTTTTTTTAGTTAAAAACAGTATTAAGAGACTACAGTTTGAGTGGCCGCAAACTTACTCCTAGTTAATGCGTTTAGATGAATGACCCAGACACTCTATCTAAATAAAGAGGAGAGAGTGGGAGGATCGGGAGACAGGAAAAGACTGGCACATGAAGTGTTAAAACTGGCTGCTCATCAGAATCACCTGTGAAACCTTCAACATAGGGATTCTCAGGCCTCAAACAAGGCTTATGGAATATGATGATCAAAGGGGAGCCCTAGGTTATGTAAAAGGCCCTCAGGAAATGAAGTCACTCTGGGGCCCACTAGGGAGGAGGGCTGAGTTACAGTCTCCAAGAAGCCACATTTCCAGACCTTGGGATCCAGTACATTAGATACTTTTAGCAGCTGAAGAATTTCGTATCTTAAACAGTAATACATATTCATTCTAGAAAGTTCATATAAACCAAATATTCAAAATAAAAATAAGTCACAATCCCATCACAAGAACAAACTGCTATTAAATCTTGCATCTGTGTTTTAATATTTTTCTTTATGTATGCATATGCACACATGGGGATATATATACTTATTTTTTAGAGTAAGATCATATTCTACTCGGCAATTTGGAATTGAATTTTATCATTTGGTGTCTTTCCATGCCATTAAATAATATTCTAAATATCATCTTCAATGGATACACAGTATCCCGTTTTATAGAACTGCCAAACATTTAGAACCTATGGTTGTACCTCTTGATTGTTTTCCATTTTTTACTAATATAAACAATGTTGAACATCTAATTTATTGTGTACATCTGTAATACAATTTTATCATAAACTCTGAGAGTATAAATGACTAAGTCAAAAGGTCAAAGTTGCATTTTCTCTTGTGAGAGTTCTAAAATACTTCCCTATCAGTTTGAAGTAAGAGAAAAGTCTAGGGCACATGAAAAGAACTAGAAATGAAGAAGAACAGCACACAAAGAGGGAAGGAAACATGCTAACTGTTATCTTTTAGGGCTGTCACACATTGAATTTTAATGTTTGGGGAAATAACCAATGTAGCTGTTAGGCAGCTGGGATTCAAACATGGTAGCACTAAATGATACATCACTGTATCGGGGGCAGGTGCAACATAAACCTCCCATGGATATTTGTCAGGTGGAGAATTCAGGGCAAGGTTTCCCTATTTGTATATAGAATTTTGAAGTCAGGGCACCTTCTAATGTTGACTGCAATGCTTAAGTCATCTGTCTGTCTCTGACAAAGAGCTAGACCCCGCTTCAGGAATGCTAACTTCTCCCACTGCTACGCTCTGTTTCTGTCCTCAAACAATTCAGATGTTGAAACCTAATCACCAGTGTGATGGCATTCAGACCTAAGGAACGTAGAGGTGATTAGATCGTGAGTATGGAGCCACCATGAATGGGATAAGTACTCTTACAGAAGATGCCCTGGAGAGCTGCTGTGCTCCCTTCACCATGTGAGGGCACAGCTGGAAGGCACCATCTATGAACCAGGAAGCAGCCTTCAGCTGACACCAGCTTTAAAGGCGCCTTGTTCTGTGACTTCCCCGCCCGGCATCTAGAACTGGAAGAAATAAATGTCTGTTGCTTATAAGCCACTGACTATTTTGTATTTTGTCACAGCAGCCCAAAGGGGCTAAGACCCCCACAATTCGGAATCTTGGATTAGAATGAATTATATTTCCCATTTTCAAAAAGGTTATCAATGAGCAAATAAACAAATGTTGTTTTCATTCATTTAACACATATTATTAAGTTACTAAGCATCAACGATGTGCCCAGCACTGTGTTAGGTACTGCAACAGCCCAGAGTGAGAGGAAATGCCCCTGCTTCCTGGACTCTGCCTTCCAGCGGGGCTGCTACCACCTGCGTGTGCTATTCTCGTGCTCAGGACGCTGTTGTATACAGTAACCTGGTAAATTGACTATGTTAAAAGAGTATTTTCTTTCTTCACAGAAACAAGAAAAATTATTTGCCGTGGAGTCCAAGAGAGGAGCATATCTATGGAAATGATAATTGAAAGAGAAACTGGAAACATCACCTGTATGAAAAATACTAATGGCTCTGTTAATGAAACAGGGATGCTGGTGACAACAGGTGACAGATCTAATCTAATCTAAACTAATCTGTTTCTCCATAATAAGTAGCAAGTTCCAGAAATGTGCAATCATACAACAGCACTAAATGACTGCTGCCGCTTGTCACTGAAGATGTCCATGTTTTATTGGGATATAATATTTCTTCTTGGCATGAAGAGAATGGATTAAGTAAATGAAAACAAGGTATGGTTCTACTTTACCAGCACAAATGGACAAATCCAAAATAAACAACTGTTACAGCAACTATGCTAATCTTATTAAAATATGCAAGGTATACTCATTCTCATTTTCATAAAAGGAAATCCTAAATGGTCAATTAGAAGTATGTTTCCTCACTATTTGTAGGAACTTCTAGTCCTAGAATTCTTGGTCCACCTTTCCCCAAGATTGTATTCAGTTGTTAAATATGAGACACCACCAAAACTGTAATGATGCCACAATGGAAGAGTTAATGAAGTAAAAAAAAAAAATCAAATGAGTCAACTATTATTAAAAGAGAGGTGACTTCATATCCATCAATTAGAAATCAAAGAGTCTGGCTGGCTATTTATCATCAAAAATCTTTTATTGGCATAAAAAAAGTCCACACAACAAGCAGCTTTTTAAAATAACTACTCAGGCAAGAGTATCACTCACCAAGCTGGGACTTTATGTTCTTTGTGACAATAAAGAAATAGAATGGCAAACAACAATCTGTGAATACTTGTAAATCATCTTTCCTAAGCTATCACTCTAGATTAAAATATCTGCCTTAGTTTTCAGGAGGTTAGAGAAGACTGTCTTACCTCCGAACAGCAGAACTTCATGAAGATGCATACATACCTTCCTCTTGCAGCTAAGGAAGGATGGATCGTCTTTGACCCAGGTAAAGATCCATGAACTAGTATCATGAAAATATCCAAAAAGATGGGCTTGGCATGGTGGCTCACACCTGTAATCCCAAATACTGGGAGGCCAAGGTGGGCAGATCACAAGGTCAGGAGTTTGACACCACTCTGGCCAACATGGGAAAACCCTGTCTCTACGAAAAATACAAAAATTAGCTGTGCATGGTGGTGGGCGCCTGTAATCCCAGCTACTCTGGAGGCTGAGGGAGGAGAATTGCTTTAACCTGAGAATTGGGGGGGTTGCACTGAGCCGAGATGGCACCACTGCACTCCAGCCTGGGTGATAGGGTGAGACTCCATCTCAAAAACAAACAAACAAACAGAAAGAAAGAAAAAAAAAATCCAAAAAGACACATTAGTAGGACTCAGCTTCCATTGTGTCGTTTGATGCACTGGCCAGTTGATTCAATCTCAATCTGTGTTCACAGTCTTCCTGCTCACTTAGAAGAAGAGCTCTGTTTTCATTTCATGATGAACACCACTTGCTGAATGCAAACTTGTTCCTAATTTCCCCAATCCTTCATCTATTGCCAGAGACAGCTCGGTTAAGTCCCCTGTGACCTATATCTGTGACCTGTCCCTAGCTAATCTTCTCTTTCACAATACGAAGTGGGGCACACACTCATTGCCAAAGGGTCCTTTGAGCAAGTCCCAATAGAAAATGTATCCACTTTTCGGATGAAATACTCAAAAAAGAGTACTACATTACCTAACGTAAAATGGAAAACAAATACATTCATCCATCATTTAGGGCTGGGAAACAACGAAAATGTAATATTCTAGAAAGATAGCCATAGGAAGTATTATTCCTCATGCCGCCCATCATTATCATAGAGCACCCACTATCCTAATTTAGCTCCAAATGTGTGGTGGAGGTGATCAAAATTTAAAACTAAATAAAGAGACTCATACAAAAAGTAAAATAATAAAATAAAACAAAACAAAACCCTGACCCCAAAACTAGAGTAACCTGTCATCTCCCAAGTATGGGTTGGGGACCTAGCACTTGTTCTGGGGGGAATTCAGGCAGGTGGCCCCGGATCTGTAAACCTAGGGAGTATTTTACAGCATGAGCACAATATTGGGCCTTTGTCTATGTGAACTAGAAAGCAAAGGGATAACTGAAATGGATAACAGTTATTCAGCACTTGGTATATTCCAGGCCTTTTTCTAGGCCCTTGTCATGAAGTATCTGACATCAGCTTCATGAGTTAGGTACTTTTTCCTTACCTCTATATGAGAAAAGGGGAAACTGTGGCCTGGTATGTTTAAAAATAAAGCAGTGCACTATTCACTTGAGGATCTTATTAAAATGAAGGTTACTGATTCAGTAGGTCTGATAGGGGGCCAATGATTCTGCATTTCTGATAAAATCCCAATTGCTGCTGCTGGCCCACAGAACACACTACGAACTGCAAGAAAGTAAATCGTCTGAGTCCTAGAGGTAGCAAGAAGCAGAGCCAAGACGGGCTAAGTTGGTTGGCTCCAGGGTCCACACTTATTGGCAATCAGCTTAGCATTTGCATGGCAGACACGTCACAGCCTAGGTACCATGAATGGTCTGAAGGATTCGAAATCAATGTCTGTCACCCTTTTTGACTGCATTTTCTAGCAACAAAAATCCTGTATTAAATGCGTAGTATATACCAGGAACTGTGGTAAACACTGGTTCAAAGGATTTTTCTTTAATCCACTGAAGTAAATTATTGGCCATTTGATTCCCTTCTTACAGGAAGCAAATCACAACCCCACTGATGGACTGGGTATTATGGTGAGTTTAATTATCATGCACAGAAAAGATTGAGCATTAATTTTCAAGGAATCAGAATCTAATAACACACCTCTAACACCGAAGGCAGTCAATCTTTGGGGATTGGGGATTGAGGAAGAATTTTAAAATCTTACAGAGCATCAGAGGTATCATTTGGAAAATTAATTATAGTCAAATAGATGTAGAAGGTGTAGGAGTTTGGGCCTGATTCTGTGAAATTATCAAAAAGCAATCTAAAAAAGAATGTAGTGATATTTTCTTTGTCAGAAGGGTTTCACTTTCTATTCTAAAATAGATATTTTGTTAATTCTGTTTTTGTTACATAGGTAGAATACAAATTCCTGATTTATGTGTGAAATGTTTGGAAGCTATAGGTCATACAAAATAACACCTTCCATTAAAGTTTCACAAAATTTCCATTAGTTCTTATTTATTCAGAACAAATTTAGAAAGACTGAAAAGAGTATATTATGGAGAGTTAAATTCTAACAATTTGAAATGTTTTCTTTACCTTCCCTTCAAGAAAATGGAATCCAGCAGCCTGCCTGCATTTTTGGCAGACTCTGCAATAATTAGAATGCTCTCATGATTCCCAAGATGGACCTCCCCAGCTGGAAACACACTGCCTCCGCGCTCATTCCTGTCAAGTGCAGATCTCCCCATCTTGGCATATGGACAGTGTCCTCTGAAACACTTCAGGGTTGGAAGAGTAAAAAATGTAAATGATTTGCTTGATTGGCCATTTAGGCCTCCAGGAGAGGGACACCCAGACACTACCATTTGTAGAGGCCTCTCGTTAGAAGAGCACACTGTCCAGCCAGGCCTCATGGAGTCTTGAATGCAACGTCCCCTTTCCCCTTTAAATCACAATATGACTTTGCAGAGGTGACTTCAGAAAAATCAAAACATTTTGAGGCTCCCTGCAGGTACCCTATTTAACTTCAACTACCAACGTTGGCATTTCTCATCTACCTCCCCTACAGTTACTATTTGTTTATGTTTCAAAACAGATAACTAACCACAAAACACAAAACGTTTCCCATAGAGGCATGAACCCAAACAGATAAGAACAAAAGCACAGGGTAGACAGGGCCAGCCTCAGCCTGTGTTGCCCACTTGGGGCATCTTGGGGCAGCATGGTATTCCTCTAGACAGCTTTTGTCAATTGCATGCTGACGCTCCTTCCAGCTCTATTTCATACTCCTTTTGCAAGTATATAAGCAAAAACATGGGACCGGGTGTGGTAGCTCACACCTGTAATCCCAGCACTTTGAGAGGCCGAGGTCAGTGGATTACCTGAGGTCAGCAGTTTGAGACCAGACTGGCCAGCATGACGAAACATCATTTCTACTAAAAATACAAAAATTGGCTGAGCATGGTGGCGGGTGCCTGTAATCCCAGCTACTCAGAGACTGAGGCAGGTGAATTGCTTGAACCCAAGAGGCGGAGGTGGCAGTGAGCCAAGATCGCCCCACTGCACTCCAGCCTGGATGACAAGAGTGAAACTCCATCTCGAAAGAAAGGAAAAAATATACATGGCATGAGGAACACTTTCTTCGACACCAGAAGAGGGAGTGATGGACACAAAGTCACAGCAGCTGTGACTTTTGGCATTCAGAGCTCTTGAGGGCAGGAAACCCACTCTTACGACTTCAAAGATCCTCTGAACCTATAATAGACTCCAGGAAGCTTGGTCACCTGCACGGGACCTAATTCTTCCCAACATCTACAGTGTTGCCTTCTTGTGTTTCAAAGCCAGGCTCAGGGTCTGTCTTTGCTTCTCACTCCTCTAAATCCCCATATTACTGTCACTGTACCCATTTTTTAAAACTTACTCCATTTCACCTTGTGTATATGCATTTGCCAAACTGTGAGCTACTGGAGGATCTTGTTCCTGCTACTAACCTTTGTATCGCCTGTTCCAATCAATGGGTTTATTATACATAAGAATTACTCAGAAGGCAGCAGATTAAAACACATGTGAGTGGTACTCATTGACAAGTATATGGCCCCAAGGGATGGTTGTCTCAAAGGACCCCTCGGCCAAGCTCTGCCTTCCTCAGGGCAGGATTGTTGCTTACTTTCTGAATACCCAAGGCACACTCTACCACGTTTTCCATATGCAATTATTAACCATGTTCTCCTGCCAAATGTGACTCATAAGAGTTGAAGAGCTATAAGAGTTACATTTCACATGGTGGACAAAGCTTTTTGACAGTATGACAAAACTTTATCCCTCGTTACCCATGCGCCAGCCAATGGAGGTAGAAAATGTATTAGATGACTGACTTGAATTTGATGAGTGCCCCTTACAAGTGTAAACAAATATGTTGCAAGTAATGACATGACCGTATGTAAAGCACTATAAAGAGGAAGGAGCACACTTTTGGAGGCCAAGGCGGGTGGAACACCTGAGGTCAGGAGTTCAAGACCAGCCTGACCAACATGGTGAAACCCGTCTCTACTAAAAATACAAAAATTAGCCAGGCATGGTGATGTGCGCCTGTAGTCCCAGCTCCTCGTGAGGCTGAGGCAGAAGAATTGTTTGAACCCAGGAGGCAGGGGTTGCAGTGAGCCAAGATCACGCCACTGCACTCCAGGCAACAAGAGCAAAACTTCATCTAAAAAAAAGTAAAGAGCAACTAGTTCTGCATCTACAGTAGTGTACAAACTTCTTGGAGAAGATTTCAGGATTTTCCCCCTACTTCAACCATTCCTCCCCCACTAGAAATATGTGAGGCTGGCAGACCTCTCACTATAGTGCAATATCACTTTCTGTGTTTTCGCCTTTAATATTGAAAAGGGATATTACTGTACAAATTTCAGTGTTGGAAGAAAGATTAAAATCCTGGCAAAATAATAATGTATTTTTCATTGTTTTATGTTGATATTAACTCTAGTGTGGCTGCCAAAATTTTGGTTTTTTTCAAGGAAGATTTACACAAGAGGTAGTCCTTACAGTTGTGCAAAACAAGAAATTCACGTCCTCTGGCTTAAAGTCATTAGCATGTATAACACACATTTTCAAGTACTTGAGATTTGGTTTTGGATAAAATGTGAATTAAGTCTGAAGCTTATCACTTTATTCCATTAGCAGGCCTCCATGACTGATTAGCGTTTGGCAGGTGTTAGTTAATATACAATCCCAGAATAATTTTCATTTTGTACTGCATTCAACCACTGGCAAAAAACTGTTGATAAAAACATATTCTCTAATAATTATCATGTATCAATGGCGTATCTCCAGAGCTCAAGTCTTAAATTCAATTGCGTTTATTTAAAATTTCTAAAAATATTTGTCTATTTTTATATTTTTTCTATTTAACCTTTGCAAGTCATATTTCAATAACTTATTCTGGCACATAATGCAGGAATGTCAAATCTTTTGGCTTCCCTGGGCCACAATGGAAGAAAAATTGTCTTGGACCACACATCAAATACATGAATAACTGGTGACCTATAAACAAAAATCACAAAACAAAAACAAAAATACCTCATAATGTTTTCAAAAAGTTTATGAATTTGCGTTCAAAGCTGTCCTAGGTTGCATGCGGCCTGTGGGCCATGGATTGGAGAAGTGTGATTTACTGTTTCCTCAAAACTAGTCTCTTGCATTTAGCAAGAAGCAAAAGGCATATTGTATAGTAAATTGTTCTTCCGTATAATTAAATGCTTTCTTAGTAAGCTAGACAGTAACACTCAAAAAAACTGGAAAACATTACCAAAGTTTTTCTTTTGTTTTTCCAAAAGCAAAAATTCTGAAAAAAATAGTATACCATGTGATATAGAGTTTTAAAATTTGACTACTTGGCTGAAATCAATTAATATGACTCTCCAAAAAGATCCATGTTAAGACTATATCTACTTTCTAACCAAAATGTCTAGAGGAAATGGAAAAGTTCCTTTCTTCTGGTATCCATATTCAGGAAAACACAGGCGACTGGACACTTTACGTAAGCTCTGCAGTGAGACAATCCCCCTGGGTAAGGCTTGGATGGTCTGGGTCGGTTCCTCAAGTGGTCTGTGTAGTTTCCTCATCTATAAAGAGGATATGACCATGGTCTACCTTACAGGGCTGCAAGGAATTAAAAGAGATATTTCAGGGAGACAGGTTTTCCTATACTGCCAGGTTTGCAGCAAGCACTCACCCATACTGCCTGCAGGTAGGACCCGTTCCCGTTGTTCTGGGCAATGCGGCAGTTCTAGGATTTGAAACCTTACGGGTTGTGTTGCCTCCACCCTTTGCTCCTGCAGTTCCTTCACAAGCAGCCACCGTGAGACTTCCTGAAGTCAGATCATGTCACTCCATTGCTCGAAAGTCAAATTTTCTCAACAGGGTCAAATCCTGGGCCCAGCGGACCCTGCCTGACCTCTCTACCCTGCCCTTTTTCTGACATCCTCTTCTCCGAGCTCCACCTGTTACAAGCTCCACCCCATACTGGCTGCTGCGTTTTCTGGGCAGGGCCCTGCCTGGGGCTCACGAGTTGCTGTCGCCTCTGCCTGCGCACAAATGGGTGCTCCCTGGGGGTACCCTCCTCACAGGTTAGCTCATCACATAGGCCTCGCGGCTGCCGTGTATTACAAAAACTCCCCACCAATACTCTTTGTCCCCTTTACTCTGCAGTTTCTCCACAGAACACACACTTACTAGTTGGTTGGTTGTTTCTTTATTAGCTTCTTCTCCAAACAGAACAGCTCCGCTCAGGTAGGCATTTTGTCTGTTTCTATTTTCTGCTACATGCCAGTACCTGGCACTGTGCTTGGCACAGAGTAAGGACTCAATCATTATTTGTTTATGTAGTTCATTAACTGTATGATATTAGAGGAGCCTCCTATTTTTTTTACTAGGTCCAATGACTTCAGCTGACTGTCAGGAGATGATGAATGGAGGCTCCTTTAGGAAACACCAGCAACATGTGAAGGTCATTTACACGCAGGCACTCTGCAGCCCAGGTGCAGCTCAATGTTCTTGTTCACAACATAGTAAAATAGATTTTATTCACTGACCATATTTTAAGCAATATTATTTTTTACTATTTAGGGCAGTACTACTCAAAGCACAGCCCCTGGGCCTGCAGTATTAGTATCACCTGGGAGCTTGTTAGAACTGCAACTTCTCAGCTTCCATCCAAGGCCAAATGTTCTGGGCCCAGGAATCTGTGATTTTATAGGCCCTCAGGTGATTCTGATGAGCACTAAAGCTTGAGTGGCACTGCTGTAAAAATTACTTCAATGACTCATTCCAGTTCTTGGACGTCCTCTTACAAGTCTTAGTGTGACAAGCTTGCGTTCTTAGTACCAATGGTGTAACCGGTTATTCATGTACATCATGTTGTCACCTCTCATGTTGACCAGTTATCTTTTGTTTTGCCAACTAAAAATACTTGAAAGGCACCTTCTCAGGTTTCAGAAGTTTCCATTGTTTCAATAACATGTGTGGCTACAGCCCAGCTATTCACCCATTAGAGCCCTCCCACATCCAGCCAGCACTTATATCCTTCGAAGCTGAATTTGAAGACTCTGGAAGCACAGAAAATTGGAATTTCTTTTAATCTATTTTTCTGAGGCAGAGGTTTTCAATCATTGTATAACCAAGGATCATTTGCGTCTTTCCAAATGACAGATGTTGTATGTGTTTAATATGTGAAGTACGTAGACAGGAATCGTCTCAGGCTTCTGTGATTGGCTCAGTGTGCTCACCTCTCACCAACCTGCCTCTGTCCTCCCACCCAGCATCCAATTGTTGCATGAGAACAACAGGTAGGATCCATAATTGTAAGACTGGAAAACCTTAGCAATAGGGCAGAGTTTCTCAGAGTGTAGTCAGTAGCAACATTTTGGGGCTTCTACCCCCAGACAAATACATCAGAATTTCTGGTCACAGAAAAGTAATGAAATAAGATTTTTTTTTTTTTTTTCTTGCCATTCTGGCCATCAAAGAAACATGGAAAAGCATGCAAGATAATTCTGCACATGACAATCTGTGACTCTCTGCTCTAGTAACTTTACGCTATAATTTTTAGTGAAGAAAAATAATCATATAGGCATACTGTTTGCATATAGTCATTTCAAATCATTCCATTCAAAGTCTTAACTCAAGCCAAGAATGAACCAAGACATTTGAAGAGATGAAATCTCATTTTCTCTGTATAATCTTAAATAAAGCATTCGTTCTAAAAGGTAAATGCACAGGAATTCTGATGAATGACTATGTTTACAATTTTAAGGAATTTAGTAAACATGTCGCACCACTCTTCTAAGAGATTTTGAGGAAAACTACTGTTAACTGGACAAAAACTCCATCCTCAAAGAGATTCAAAGGTGAAGTCAGAACTGGAGTACAAACTAGCAAGTAATAAAGGAGAGTCCTAAGGTTCTGAAAAGGATTCCTACCGGTTCTAATGAGTAGGAGAGGATTACTTGTAGTTTAGTTGTTAGTTTAACACAGAGTTAAATCTGAAAGTTGACCTGGGATAAGCCATGTCTGTTTTCCCAGTCCTTTACAGATGCAATATAACTATACAGAGGCCTTTCAGTAGCAGTATATAGGGTACCAGGAAGTCACCCCCAGTCTGTAGTGGTGCAGGGAGAAGTGTATTAGGAGGGCACCCCTGCAGCCCCCAGCTGCACCATGTACACTTGCCTAAGCCAGTCCCTAGCCTGCAAAATGCACAAAGCTGGCAGACCACAAGACAGAGGGGTAAATGAGAAACAGGGTGATCAGAGGTTAGATGTGACTCAGACATGGGTGGAAATTAAAGGTGAAACAGCACGTCATCATAGGCCACACAGTACTCTGAAAGCTGCTGTCATTTACCGCATTCCACACATTTACAAGAATTTATTGTCTATTGTTTGGGTGGAAATAATTACACATTTCAGTTTAAAAATATAAAGAGAATATTATACATTTAGCAGAATTTTCTCAGTGCCTACTGGTACTTCAGACCCTATATAGAGAGAATACTATATTTTCTCAACTAAAATATTATGGTCTAGAGAGAAAGACAAAGACAGTCAATTGAAAATGTCAATAATTCTAAGTTCATTCTCATAAAAGAAAATTCTGGAGAAGACCAAGGGCAATTTTTTGAAAAAACAAAATAAGAAGACTCAAATTTTCAGATAAATATGTTTGATAAGATAGTAGAGACAGATGCGCTAGGAAACGGATTAAAGAATGTGAATATGATTATTGTTCTAAAATTGTTTTTAATATTCAGTGACAGGTAAAGGTTTAATTTTGTTCTAAACAATGTGTTTTTTTATTTTTAGTAAGAATTTTATTTTGGGATATCAAATAACTAGTAGATAAGTCTACTAATATAATAAATCCAATCTGTTACACAGTTGTACAGGAACAAACATAGTAAATATAGGGTTTGGTACCACTTTTGGTTTCAGCCATACATTGGGGGATTTGAAACATATTGCCTATTGATGGGGAGGGATGACCGTACATGTGAGACATCCAGAAAAAATGCATAAATCTCAAAGAGGTGGTCTAAAATTCAGGCTTGGATACCATCTTCAATGGCAAAGGAAGAAAGGGAGAGGAGAAGACAGGAGTAAGGTTTGTTACGCAGATTATTAAGTTGGTGACTTCTCAAGAAACAGAGTCTCCAGAGACTCTGTCCTTCTCATCCTAGTAAGGAAAGGGAGACACCCTTACAAATGGAGATTTCCTTGGTAGATATAAATTTCCCTTACAAAAAGGTGACTTCCGCTCTTTTTTTAGAGCTTGTCCTATGTCTACTGTTTCTCAAAATAATCAGCTCAAAATAATACTTATGCTAACGTGGCATATTTTGGGATGGTATATTCTGGTCTCACACACCCTTAAGGTGGAATTTTCCCTTGTTTGGTTTATAATGTTGGAGCATGAGTATCCTTTAGTAGGGCTTGTTTTTATCTAGAGGTGTCAATGTCAGAATGATCTTCTACATACTCTGGTTGAAACATCAAAATTGTTATGAGCTTGGGTTTGATATCTATATTAATTTATCTTATTCTGGATCACAAGAGCATTGCAGGGGTTTAGATTTATCTCATTTTTCCCCATTTTTGACATCTGTTTCCATTTCTCAGTTTTTCTTTCCAGACCTGAGGTGCCCAGCTCACATGAAGCAGAGCCTCTTTCCCTCCCACAGTCATCTCAAGATCACCAGAGTATCAGCTAATGCCTTACTTTCTGGGTTTATCTACTCCCGTATTTAAAGATATTATTTCTACATTTTCACTTGTCCTTGGAAATTATCTTTTTTTTTTTGCAAGCTCATCGAAAATTTTTAAGTTCCTTAAATTTTATTTAGTAATTTTAGTGGGAGGCATTTCTTATTATGTTAGGCTTCCACCTTGCAAGTCCCAGAACTTTCTGATACTGTGAAGGTCATACCAGCCCACCACTGCCAGGATCTGTTGTATGTGGGAGGAAAATCAACTTCTACCCCATAAAGTCATTGTGATTATTTTGTGTTTTCTGTCAAACACAGTAAAAATTAATTCTATTACACCTTTGACTATTTAGATTAGAGAATAAAAGACTAAGAGACACATATTGATATTTTAAAAATAACTAAACAATAACCATCTTTGCCAAAGAAAAGCATTTTGAAATGGGTGGTAGCATAGAGAGAAGGAAGAGTCCTTTCACACTAAGGATGTCATTGCCATTGGAATATGTGGCTTTAGAAACTACAAATGGCTCGATTAGCTTTCAAGTTCTTTCTACTTTTTAGAATTTTTCTACATCACTAGAAACATATCTCTTCTGTTTAATCTCAATGTGAAAACCTGTTTCATAGGCATTCTCAAATTTTACATCAAAGTACTCCACCTACAGTGACGTCTCCTTGTAGTGAATTAGAGACTCCAATCCAAAACGTATCATACACTAAATATGCACCTGGTGAGGCCATGCTCCATGGAGACTGCACTAAACAAACAAACAGAATGCTTTAATACTCTTAGGGCATTCCAATTACCTGGACTGCCAGCTGGTGGTGAGCCATTCCTGCTGTCAGTGTGCAGAATCACAGCCAGCCCCACAGAGTCTCCTGGGAGGACTGAGCTGCTGAGGTCCACCCGAGTCAAACTCTGGGGCTCCCGCTCACGGCCTCCCACCGTGTTTCTGGCGTTGTCGCCTCCAGTTGCATTCATTTCTTGACCTTTTCTCCATGGTCTCTGAACAACGTGCACGATGCTCTGCTGATCCAGGTCACAGTTCTGTTTGGGAGCAAGGTGAAAAAAAAAAACAAGGAAATGGCAAACATGAAATGCCAGATAGAGTTTAACTTGTCCTCAGTGTTAGAAAGGAAAGGAAAGTGACATGTAATTGACCAGCTTAGGCACACGTTTGGCCACAGCACTTACACACTACACATGGTAGACAAACAACACTGAACTGGGGCCAGAAACAGAAATTTGGGGATACGTGAAACACAACAGAATGCTGAAGTCATATTCAAAAGGACATGAAATCTACCAGGAAAAAAAAAAAAATTACCAAAGTGGATCTATAAGCACAGTGAAAACAATAATTCTTTTTTTATTTTTTCCCCGAGACGGAGTCTCACTCTGTCATCCAGGCTGGAGTGCAGTGGTGCGATCTCAGCTCATTGCAACCTCCACCTCCTGGGTTCAAGCAATTCTTCTGCCTCAGCCTCCCGAGTAGCTGGGATTACAGGCGGGTGCCACCACGCCTGGCTACTAAAAATATTCTTAAATAATAAAACTGATTGACATCAGAATTGATATGTCATTCTTTTCTGTTTTATAAAAGTACAGAAAGTTATTATCAATTAGAGGGCATTTCTATATAGCATTGGAAATGAATGTGTTTGAGTAGACTCCACACACACCCCTCCACGGGCACCAGCACACACATCGTTACACCAGTGGGGAAGCAAGGCAGGAGCACACTCCTGCCACCCAGGGTTCATTCTCTCTTGGTCGATTTAACTATGAAAATCAGCAAACATTTACAAAAAGCTTTTGCATCTATATATTGACACGCACGAACAGAAGAAGACTTTAACATTTTGTAGCATAAAAATGAAAAGTCAGATTATTTGCTAGGACAAGAACTAGGCTACCCTAAATGGAATTCTAGTTTCAGAATATCTACTACACAGGGCCACCCGTGGTGGCTCAGGCCTCTAATCCCAGCACTTTGAGAGGCCGAGGTGAGTGGATCGCCTGAGGTCAGGAGTTCGAGAAGAGCTTGACCAACATGGTGAAATCCCGTCTCTACTGCAAATACATCAGCCAGGCGTGGTGCTGTTTGCCTGTAGTCCCAGCTACTTAGGAGGCTGAGGCAGGAGAATCACTTGAATGCCCACCCCCATCCCCCCGCCAAAAAAAAAAAAAAAAAAAGAATATCTACTACATAGAAGCAGTTACTAATCTGCTTGCTGCCCTCTTAAGACACAGCAAGGACTTTACTCTCTCAGCAAATCGATGTGGCCGGGCACAGTGGCTGACACCTGTAATCCCAGCACTTCAGGAGGCCAAGGTGGGCAGATCACTTGAGGCCAGGAATTTGTGACCAGCCAGGGAAACATGGTGAAACCTCGTCTCTACCAAAAATACAAAAAAATTAGCCAGCTCTGGTGGCATGGGCCTGTAATCCGAGCTACTTGGGAGGCTGAAGCAAGATAACTGCTTGAGCCTGGGAGGTAGAGGTTGCAGCAAGCCGAGACCATGCCACTGCACTCCAGCCTGGGCAACAGAGCAAGACTCCATCTCAAAAAATATAAAACAAAATAAAATAAAAATTAAAATGAATCGATGCCTTTCAAATACCTCTTGCCATTCTCATTTTAGGAATGCTCCCAGGACACTCAAATGAAATGCATCCATAACTAACAGCAATAAATGATGCCCTCCCCTGCTGCTTTCTCAAGCTCTTCTGTTGCCTTCACCATCAATGTCCCTCGAACAGTGATGCCCAGCACTCACCAACAACCTGACCACAAATACAATGGCTGGAGTCTGCCTCCTCCATCCAGTATGGCACCAGGACACCCTTTGTCCTTAAATCCCATTCAGACCTCTTCTCTACTCTCACACCCTGGGGTTCCGTCTCATCCCCAGGCCCTGTGCCCCTCCCCATCCCCATTCTCAGAGCTCCCAGCCTCTCCCCAGGACTGTTCCTACTCAGCAGGGGCCACTGTTCATCATTCTCTGACTTGAAGTCCTCCCCTGCATGATTTCCCTGTTTCTGTCAGGAAAAACCATCACCCACATCACCCACTCCGAGCCTTCCCCTCCCACCTAAAAGTCTCATTATCCTCCCATGTTTTGTAATGGGCTGCAAGAGAATCACTATCTTGAATTCCTCCTACCTAATCTTTGATATCGGCAAGGCACCAACAGTTAGCAATTCTGTCTCAGAATTACCCTTCACATCTTCAACTCCTTTATATCTCAATATTCACCTCCCCATTTTAGGCCTTCCTCACGATTACTCCCTTTACATCCGATATCGCCATACTCCAGTCCAATATGTACAAGAATTCTGGGTGTGTGTGCGCTACATAATCTTTCTAAAGTGTCTCAGTATTACTTGTAAAATGGACTGTAACATCTCCCATGTTCTTCGAGTGTGTTTGTACTTTTTTCCTTTCTAGATCATGATCTAGATTTGATTTTTTATCTTCCTTACCCCTCTTATATTATATGTGTGGCAGATTAAACTATTCTTCAAAATTATGCACGCCCGTACATTAGTGTGCATACATCATGCTCCCCACTTCCTCCCAGTGATTGTGCCCAGCCACTTGAATGTCTTTGGCCAAAGGGACATTAGCAGATGTAATTGGAACCAAGGCTTTGTATTTGTCCCGCTGCTAAGGTCCATCAAAAGAACATCCCTGCTGGGCACAGTAGCTCACACCTGTAATCCAAGCACTTTGGGAGGCAGAGGTGGGTGGATCACTTGAGGTCAGGAGTTCAAGGCCAGCCTGGCCAACATGGTGAAACCCCACCTCTACTAAAAACACAAAAATTAGCTGGTCGTGGTGGCGTGTGCCTGTAATCCCAGCTACTCAGGAGGCTGAAGCAAGAGAATCACTTAAACCCAGGAGGCAAAGGTTGCAGTAACCCGAGATCCCGCCACTGCACTGCACTGCATGGAGCATGACTCTGTCGCAAAAAACAGAACCTCCCAGAAAGCTTCCACCTGTTCACACATGGCCCACACCTGAGTCCAACCCACAGAGGTGACCAAGTGCAGCCACAGTCAGTGTATAAAGCAGGGACCTGTAGCTGAAGCCAGCCTGAGGCCATGGGCACCCCCACTGACCTGCAGGCACATGAGAAAGATGGCATGCTTTTATGGCACTGAGATTTGTGCTTGACTTTTGAGCAATAATGGCAGACAGCTTCGATTTTCCATTCTACTTGGACAAGGTATCACTGTCTATGATCAGCTCCATGTCAGGTAGCACTCCTCTAGCTACACACAGCCTCTAGCCTAAGTCATTTCAAAGAAACCGGCATCAGGATCCGAGTATGCTCAAGGACCTGAGCTTTGCCACAGAAGGAAGAGTGGAGAATTAGCACCCTAGCCTATCCTGAGGTTTCTATCCACATTGTGTCCCTTACTTTCCATGTTCAGGACTCAGGTACTTCCTGTGATCCTCCTAGAGAAAAGTAATACCTTTCTCCCTCATCTGAATCTAAAAATCTTTGCTTACTGTGCTCTTCTTATTGCAGTGGTTAGAGCTTGGACAGTATGAGAGTGTGTGTGTGTGTGTGTGTGTGTGTGTGTGTGTGTGTCTGAGTCTTATCTTCCAACTTATTTTAGAAATACTTAAGAACAGCAACCTGGTCATACTAATATTTATCTATCACAGTGCTTTGAAGCCAGGAGATGTAGAAACATATCTACGAATTTAAAAAGTTTGAAAAAGTGAATGACTGAAGGGAAGTAAGAAAGAAGGAAGGAGTGAATGAATTAATGAATATAAACAGTCATGAGCTCAGTGTCCAAAGTGCCACAGAGGGAACCAGCAGAACAAGAAAGAAAGGGCATAGAATTTAAAGTCAAATGGACTCAAACTCTACATAATTTATTAGCTGTATGAATTTTGGCAAATTATTCTTCCTTCCCCAGCTTTCTGCCATTGACAATAATATATCAACTTTGAAGGCTGTTTTGAAGATTCGAGGAAATGTAAAGAGCTCAGATCCCGATCCGCAATGGTACATCCATCGTTGGTAGTATTGTTACCATTTATGAGTTTTAGAAAACTAAAGAGGATGGCCCCCTAATCTTGTACATACATAAGGCCTCAGAATTCTGTGTAGCTGCTCACTTACACAATTCTGTTTGGAAAATATACAGAGAAGGCAGAATGAGCAGGAGCTATCAATGTGATAGTCTCTCTGGTGGCATTCCAGCTTTCTGTGAACTAAAAATTGATACCAAAAAAAAAAAAAAATCCTATATCATCATATAGCCAGATGCCATGAAACACAAGAAGAACCTGAGTGAATTTCCAGGGATGGCTGAAATGTGACAAATGTTGATGAAATCTAAAAGATTTCAAATCCAGATTTTCCTAATGCTTAGGGTAGAGCTGCAAAGGGGAAATGAAAGTCCTCAAACAGATTTCAGTAGTTACAGTGATCCTGATAGGACACATTTCCCTCAGTTGCCATCCCTGTTTCTGAGATCATTAATTGCTTAATCTTTGACTCTCACAGAAAATCTTGCTGGTCCCAGAAGTGGTGCCTTGGCAGATGGCGTACTCACACACCATGCTGGTTCAGTTCAAAGCCACATTCCATGGACAATACATTGGACACAGTCCAGTTGTACAGCCACGCAAAAGCCCCAAATACTATTTAGCTCTCCTAGTATACAAAAAAATTCCTCAGATACGGGAGAAAGAGATTTTCGGTGGGAAGACATCAGAGTGCTCCAATATGGTTTTAAGCTACCCCAGAGCAGAAACAATGTCTTATTTATCTTTGTTTCTCCAATAAATAAAATATTACCTGTCAAAGAGAAAACGCTTAATACGGTTCTTTCTTTCTTTATAACAATATATTAATCCAACAAGTAAGGCAGTAACAAGTTCTTTAGTGTAGACAAACCAAGTAGGTATTTCTGTAACCAAACTGTCAAGCACAGCTGTTGACACCCATGGGAGACTGAGGGATCAGTATCTTGGGCTCTTTGTCTATAGGATCCTTGACACGGAAACATACCAGTATTA